GTGACTCACGACCAGCTCGATATTGAGTCTAGAGAGCCACACATCATACTCGATATATGGTCTTTGAGATATTAGATAGATGAGGGATTATAGATACATGATAACTAAGGACAAACAGGTCCAATGGATTGGATTCTCTTGTATCGTCTAGGGACTATGACGTAGTAGCCTAGTACGATGAGTTGAGTGAATTATTATAAGAGATAATAATTCACTGAGTTAGAAGGAGTTTTGATATGTATGACTCACAATTAGCTCGATATTAAGCCTAGAATGTCACACGCATATAGTAGGTGTTGCGACAAATAAAGGTTTAAATATGAGATATCCAATAAGCCCATGAATGAGTGGATCTCGTGGATAAGATCCAATAAGAGCCAATGAGAGATTATTGGGTAGAGATCCACTAATCTAAGAGGCTTGGGTAGTTGGATGAAAATCCAATACCCAATATGGGGGATCTATTATGGTTAAGTTGACAAAGACCTCTATAAATAAGTGGGAACCATAGGGGCATAGGCTAGACTCTTTTTAGTTGCCACCTCCAATTCTCCTCCCTCCCTCTCCTCCTCAACCGACAGCTCTAGTATGGGGCATGTGGACAGCAAAAAGGGTTGACCCCTTTTTTATCACATAGTGTGCGTGGAGAGGAAGATCATGCAATGATTTGAGAAGCGTCTTCGTCACATTTACTATATGAATCACCGCTAGAGAGGAGGATAGTTGACCTCTTTCATCCACTCCTATAGATTTGAGATTTTATAGGAATATATGATCTCCCTAGGGAACAAATCTGTCTTGACGTGTGGTTTTCAATTTTGCATTTTGTTTTATGCACCAATCTTCGTATAATGACGAGAACCTTTTTTCTTTAAAAAATCTAGGATTTTATTTTTAATGTTATTTTGTTGTACATGTAATGTTGCCTAAGGTTTCCCAATAGTGGTATCAGAGCCAAGTTATTCATGCGATCGATTGATTTTTAAACTATGTTGTGTTGAATCGTGTTAAATTATTTGCGCGTAACTTGCCACATTTTTATCGTCAATCGAAATTTTGGATAGCACATATTCTTATGGTTAAAAGGTTTAGTAAATCAAGATGTTATCCTCAGAGTATCTGATGCAAAACAAAGAAAAAGGGGCAACAACTGTTGCTGCCTCATAGTTTGGCCAAAGGTTGCTTGTAGTCATGGCCGAGAGCACAACTTGTTGCTCTTGGCTTGGCCAAAGGCAGCAACGCTGAGAGTAACAGGGCTTCTTTTAGCTTGGGCATTGGGAGCCCATGCAACCATGGTTTCCTGGCTACAAGGGGCAACCCTAGCAGCCAGTATCCCTAGCGGCCAATAGTCCTGGCCGCCCATGGACAGAATGCAGCCAGGGATTCCTGGCTGCAGAGGGGTCCTTGGTGGTTAGGGTTTCCTAGCCACATAAGGCAGCCCTATGACCAAAGATTTCTGGATGCAAGGGAGTCCCTAGTGGCTAGGAAACCCTAGCCACATAGGGGACTTCCTCATGGGGCTCTCTAGGGTAGGGTACCCCAAAAACTATAAAATAAATAATTAATTAATATTATTATTATCTAGTAGTCCTATGATTATTATTATTATTATTAGGGCCTGCGAACCCTTATTTTTCTCATTTATTATCGGGTTTACGTGCTTGTGATTATGTTATAATCACACGATGAGGTATGATAGGAGCATGGAGGTGACAGTGGGACCCACGAGGTCGAGATAAACGATCGTGATGTATCGAGATGCGGCTAGATGATGACAGAACGGATGAGGACGAGATGGATGATCATCAAAAAGGGGGAGATAGTTGAATCTCAGATTTTGATGATGAAATCAATTGATGAGTTTACGATCTAATATGCGTTTTGAGAAAAGTGATGTAGAACCAACTTCGATCATGAAAAAATAAAATGATTTAAGTAGAAGAATCATACGTTGGGCCAAAGTCAGAGATCGGGCATCATGATGGAAGAATTGGATATTGCGCCAAGATCGGATGTTGCAGGAGTCAACATGCCGATGCATCGAGTGATACGTCGAAGGTTCAGACGATGTGTCAGAAGTTCAAATGAAGTTTAGATGAACCAATGACATACCGAATAACATAGATTTCTTATCTTGTAATCATTTGGGTCTTTATTGTTGTAGTTTAATTTTAAATTAAGTTAGTTTTAGGTATAACCCTACTAACTCAATTATAGGCCCATTGAGCCTGATCTGGGGTTGAGTTGGCTCCATTGGGAGGCTCATTTAGTGACTCATAGTTAGGTCAAGTGGTGGCACCACCAGATCAAGCAGTGGAACCACCTATAAGCTAGAATGTACGAAGTGTATGTTTTCCAAAAGACCCGAATGCGGTACCTCTAGTGTTAGGCAGTGGTACCGCCCAAACTAGTAGTCGTACCACTAGTACATGATCTCCCATGCTGTCAAGTGATAGTATCGCCCAAATTGGGCGATGATACCACTAGTTGTCAATCCTACAAGCAGTGGTACCACTTAGTACTGGCGATAGTACCGTCAGGGCCCTATAAACCTAGGATGAGACATATTTTTGGCTCCATTTTTGAAGCCATTTGAGGCCTATAAATACCTCACTCTTTCTGCTAGTCATATGTGTCCTACAAGCCAATCACGTGAGTGATGACACGTGTGATAAAACATACACTCTTTTTGCTTATTATTATGATATTTTATCACTTTATATTGTTTGATGCATAAATATATTATGATGTTAATGGATCTATGGAATGAGAATCAGATCGTGATTAGATTACGATAATAAGACCGATTCACCTTTAAATACAGAATCTAAATAATCCTGGTTATAGATTACTCGAGAGGAACATCAAGATAACCAGACAGACTTGTGTGTTGTATACTCGTCCATATGATAGAGGTGGCTGGTCTCATAGCTACTCGTGTGGGGACACTAGAGCTATAGTATAGGTATTCATTGGAGAATGAATTCATTGATTTGCTCACAAAATGCTAGATGGTTGATGATACCTCATTATTAGACAATGATTCTATCTCCTAATAGTATACCTAGTCATTAGACTTGAGATATCAAAACCTTTAAAAGAAATAGGAGCTTTAAAAGTAGTGTAACTTAAGTCTCCAAAAAAAAAAATATATATCCAAACTTTAAATAACATTTGCGATAACGCTCAAGTGATTTTTGGCCCAAATATCCACCTTAAATTTGGTAGGATTTAAAAATATAAATTCAATTTTTTAGGGACTGAAATTAATATAAGTACCTTTCTAATTGCTTAAAATATAGAAAAATGATTATCTAAACCTTCGTAAGTAAGTTTTATTTTTTTTAAATTAAAAATTGGAAAAAGAAAAAAAAATGTAGAACATAAGTTAGATTGTTTCTGAACTGATTAGAGACGATAAAAAAAAAGGTGTAACTAAACATATTTTCTGATATTGGACAAATTCCTATTTATTTTTTATGCTAATTGAACATATTCCTCGTTATGTGGTATCAGACAGGACAAAACCGTTCACGTCTTGATCCAAATAATCACATATCTAACAAATTATTTGTGATATTCATATTTTCTTTTACATTGTTTTATCCAAACCATTAATTAATGGGAGTATGGACATCATTTCATCTTCTGCGTTGACATATTACTTGGGAAACTGTGTTCCCACTAGTTGACACAGAGTACCTGAACTAAATGAATTTTCCTCTCACGAGGTTACCATTTTAGTATAGTTCTACGATCTTTCATTTTTCTTTCTCTTATGTTTATGATTTCGTCCGATTGGGATTAATCATCAATATATGATCCAAGATTTATAATTTCATATTATATTGAGTTTTGAGCTTAGCTCGATATGATATGATATAAGTATACCGAGTGATATATTTCAGTACACCGTTGGATGTATATATATAAAAAAATAAAAAAATGATGGCTCTGCTCACGTTAGAAGATCGTAGAGCGAGCAACGTCGCTCGATTTCCCAATGCAAAAAATAGAGAAACACGAAATCGCTCAATTTTCATCTACTTGGGAGAAAAAATCGTTTTTCCCAACGATGTCACCGAGGTTTTGTGGCCGCATCGGATCTTTAGGTTTTCTTCTTTCTTCTTTCTTTTTCGTCTTTTGACATTTTTTTCTCCCATTCTTTCTTCTTTGTCACCATCAATGCTACCATCCGAACGAAACAAACAACATTATTCAAAATTAAAATCCTTCTTATGATCATCGTAACAACTCAAATGAGCCGCGTCGTATTAAACGGTTAGAATCATCGATCATTGGTAAATATTTCCACGTGTCCCGCCGTAGCTGTTACGCATCCTACCGAGACAGGAACGTTCCGTGGGCCCCACACGGCATGTGATGTCCCTCGCAACTAGTGGGCGCGAAGATGAGGCATGTGAAAAACCAGGCGCCTCGGCCTGCGCGGGCTATGCGAACGATGTCGGAGACGAGTCGATGCTGACACGTCCGAGACCGGCGCCCCGGCTTCCCCGACGCCACCACTCACGTCCACCAGGTGAAAAACCTAATCTTTCTCTCTCTATTTCTCTCTCATCTTTCCTCGCTGCAATCTGATCTCCTTTTTCTCACCTTCTCTTTCTTTTTTTTTAATTTATTTTATTTATTGATTTGGACTCAATAGACTCAATTATCCAAGCCCACGTATGAGCGGACCCAACACAACAGTGTGAATTGCAATTTTGCCGGTCGAAGCGTCCGTGTGAGACCCTCTGGGTTAGGGTAGGGTAGGGTAGGGTAGGGTTGTACATTAAGAAAAGACTTTGGCTTCCTTTGTCACTAACCTGAAACAAATCTTTGCCCCCTAACTGGTGGAAGCTACTGGGTCCCTGCCACCTATGTATACCAACTACGAGGCATTTGGGTCGGGTGTCTGTTCTTGAAGTAAGAAAAGTAATTTGGCTATAAATTATAGTCTTCGGGGTAAGACTCGCTCGTCTCGTCCTTAATATCGATCCGAACAAGTCCCGTGACAGACTTTTGGAGACCTCGCAGCGGTGTCTCCATCATCTCTTCCTTCTCCTTTGGCCTGCGGATGGAAGCCACGGGAGCCGCCATCTTCCGTACCCGATCGGCCATCCCCGCTGCCGCCGGCAGGGACGCGAGGGTCCCCTTCGCGGCCGCCAGGCGTCCGCGGAGGGCGTCGGTTTTACCGGTTGTGGCGGCCCTGGAGAACGGCGCCAGTGCGTCGGACAGCGTCTCCAAGAAGAGCGTAAGCGGCGGCGGCGGAGGCAGGGTGCCCAACTCCAACTACGTGGTGCCGTTCGATCTGACCCCCTCCTTCTGTCGCCCCCTCAAGGAGATCCTCCGGGATCTCAACAAGAAAGTGCCCGACAACATCATCAACGCCGACGACAACTCCATCCCTTGGTATCTCTCGTCTCGTTCTTCTCCTCGCTTCCCTGATCCTTCGCCTCCTACATGATCCATCCATAACCTTTCCGGACGTCGATTTCCCTTTTTCATTAACTATAGCATAGATTTCAGATGTTGTTCGACCTGGATCACCGATTGCTTGACTTTGACTTTGGGCGGCAGCCTAATTTTATGGTCAAGTATGGGAATCCTCGCCTCTCTGTCAGGATCAGAATGGGGTTGGTCATGGCTTGTGTTGCCTTTTCTTGTTGGTTGTGTGCGTTAGTTTAGTTGCAGCTTTGAACTTTGAATTTGTGTTAGCGTTATGAAGCACTTGGTTAGCCTGTTGGTGTTACTTTTGGCCACCCAACATGGTATGTTTAGGCATCTTAAGTTCAACAACATTCTGTTTCCTTTTAGCATCCTCAATTAAGTAGGAACAATGTCAATCCTTCTCTTATAATTACTTGAGAGTTTTGTTCCACATCAACCAGTGATATTGCTGATCAAGGAGCTTGATTTTATTGCAGCAGTTTCATACTAGTCTCTGTTTAGATCATATGTTGGTACAGTATTATCTGGTTAGTACTGACAGAGGCAAAAACGACTTCAAAAGAGGAAAGCAACAGAAAGGGGGATGAAATAAACAAACACTTTATTCTTCTCTGCTGCTGCCTCCTCAGTCTCCTTTTAATTCTACTTTTTAGCCTGTGAACATGGCTTCTCCTATTCTTCTTTACTGCTGCTCTGGATTTTAATCAGGGTGGGTCATGACTTTTTGTAAAATTTGTCAGGACTTTAAGGTGTTGATCAAAACCAATTAAGGTTGAACCTGTAGCCATCTTTAATGAGATGCCACCTACCTCAAATTTGAAGTATATCACCTGGTCCATGCTCAGATTGACTTATGTGCTGCCCAGTTTTGGTGGTTATCTCTCAGAATTGCATCAATTCATGGCTGTTAAGTGGGTGTGGACAAAAAGTATTTTATGTTATTTAACACTGAGGCCTTGTTAATAGTGGCTCCACTCTCCATCTTCAAGTTATTGTGGAGATGGTGCTCAAGTATTTGATCCGGACAATTTTCTAAGGTGAGAACCACCCTTTATGTTTCTTTAGAAACGAAATGTTCTTGATTCATGACAATGATGCCTAAACACTTGAAATTCGGCCCACAAACATAAAAGTTCAAACCAGTTCTGCTCCATTTTGATTCATATATGGACGTTATTGACACAAATATGCTGAATAGACATGAAACATCTTGTTTGACCCATCGATGCACATTATTGACCCATATATGCTGAAATAGGCATGAACCATCAAGTGTTGAATATGTCTAAACCTAAGTACCAATCACTTGTTATGTTAATGGCATATCTCGACTACAAGGTTCAGATCAGAAGTAAAATGTACCGAGTCATTTATCAGTGATGACAATTTAATGGCTTATTAAGTGCTTATGTATCTATTTTTGTTCAATTGATAGGCAAACAACTGATTGGTTCATGAAACAAAAAGGATAACTTTGAACAATTAACTAATGATGCACAGTGACTGATCTATATGTGTGCAAAAAGCAGTAATTTATCCAATGGAAAGACATTAATTAAGAATGTTATTCTTTGTGCAAACTAATATTTGTCTCTTTAAAATTTTAAGAGTTATGCAAGACTAGTTAGGCTTAGAGGCTTGTGAAGTCTCCAAATAAGTTCTTATAAGCCCAAATTTTAAGTGTAAGATATGACACTTTGAATCTTTCAAAACTATGAATATCAATTTAGTTAATCACCTGATTAACAGTGCAATATTCACGATTCCATTACTCGGTTCGATTAATAAAGTTAAGAAAGTTTTAAAACTCCTACAGCATTCATTTCATTTGGATTTTACGTTGCCTTTAATACTTTTTGTTTCACTTACATTCACGTTTAAAGCTGTTCCAGTATATTATCGCCTCTTGGGTTAACTGCTACTTAGATCTGGCAAGTTAACCAGGTTAATACTGTTGATACTTTTTTTTGTAGGTATCATGCTAATAGAATGCTGAGCTTCTACGCCCCAGGTGATTTTAATCAATATAAGATTGATTGCAATATAGTCTTTTTAACTTTCTCCTACGCCACATACAAAATTGGAGCATTTTAAGGTTGTTCCTTATATTTTTATGATGGATTTTGTATTGCATGGAAGGCTATTGTGAGTGGAGTATTATAATTTACATTCATGGCATAATTGTCTTGTTGAAGTTTCCAGGAGTATCTTTTAATGAACTTTCATCAGTTAGATCGGTCTCGCAGAATCTTAAGCAATACGATGTCCTTTGTCAGTTGTATTGTGATCAAAGTGATGCCAACTTCTGTCTAGATTTCTATTGTACAAAAATTTCTACATCTGTTTTTGTCACTGGTAAATGATTTTTAGGCATTATATTAGAAAGCTTAGGAGAAAAATCCCATTATATAATACAACAATAACAAAGTGGTAAAGTCCCAACTATCAGGGAAAATCTCATTATGTAATTTTTGATTATTTATACCTTCTTACTATTTGCCTTATCTGCAAAGTGGTGCTGAATGATATTTTGTAAAATATTACTCACCATTCAGAAAACCAATGATTGGATATTGAGATTGTCCTTTTCTTTTATGGCCAATCCTGCGTAATTATCTATTCATAGTCAACTATTCTATAGACAAGGTGATATAGATTTTCATCGGGTTAATGTGGATAAGCATCTTCCAAAATCTAATCTTTGACTTCTGATTTCATGTTACTTTTGCATAACAAGGCTGGTGTGGAGAAGTACGTGATGTTATATTCTCGGACAACGGGAATGTGACAGTGGTATACCGTGTTACAATACGAGGATTGGATGGAGAGGTATTTGCCTGTGCAACAGCTCTCATTTCATGCCTTTTTGCAAATTTGTCTTAGATTGATTGTAGCATGTCATCCTTGAAATTTCAGCTTCTTGTGCCATTTCAACTTGGGTATGATTAGAAAATGGAATGCTTGAACTTGACCTATGAGCTTCTTGTTTCTGTTTTTTTATATCTGGGTGAATTATCAATCCACTAAATCTTTCTGGAAAAAGTTTAAATAGTTCCCCCTTTACCCTATCATTTGCGGTTTGCACTCTTTGATGCAGACCATCAGGTCCTAATGTCCCATACTTTGTTGCTGTTGCAGGCACACCGGGAGTCGACCGGAACAGTGTCTTCAAGCGATGGGCAGTTCGAGGACCCGATTGCAGCAGCTGAAGAAGTAGCCTTCTGCAAAGCCTGTGCTCGGTTCGGTTTTGGCTTGCATCTTTACCACGAGAATGAGGCAGTGTAGAAGAACAATGTTTACATCTATCTTTACCATGCAAACGAGGCACTGTAGGATGATAGCATGGATGGGAACTGACTTTTCCAGATAAAATTGATGCAGTCGAGACGAGGTTTGGATGTTGTATCATGTTCTTGAACCGAAATAGAAGAAGATAGTTATAATATTTATTATATATTTATTTATATAAATAAGATATAAACTGAAGAGTAGGAAAAGAGATGAACAAAGATGAAAAGAACACTGTTTGTGTAAACACCTTTAAGCCGTGGCCTCGGGGCCGACGCGGCTTGGTTCGGGTCTGAACGTCGGGGAATCGCCCAAACGTCTCCTGGGAGCCCTTCGCTTGCACGCCTGGTATGAGGCGCCTCGTCTTCGGTCCTGCACACGGGTCGGGTCGGAAGCTCGACCCGACCTCTCTGACGATCAAGTTAGTGATGTGGAGTGGCGTGATCTTTTTTTTCTCCCTTCTTTTTGCTTAGAACACGGGGGTATTTATACGGGAGCTTAGCGTTACCCGGAGCGTCTGTGCGCAGGGAGCAGGATCGTACATTTGATGACGTCTGACATTGTGGTTGGCGTGTCGTGAGGAGGCTAGCCTGAGCGATCGTTAATGGGTCTCGGTTGACATTTTGGGGCGTCCGCTGATGTTACGGAAGTCTTATCGTAATTACCACCCCTATCAAACACGAACCTATTCAAGAACTCATTCAGGTCGATAGATGTTCATATTTTTCTAGGTAAAATTATCCTATAAAATTTTTCAAAGAGATTTTAACTTTTATCATAAAATTAAATTATAATAATCTATTTTTACTATATTATAAAAATTATTATTATTATTATTATTATTTTATATCTATGAGTGCGTGCGGAGTTTCGCATATATTCTCTGCTACGGACGATCGTCACCTTAAAACGTCACGGTTAGTTGCGTTCGGTCCGATCAGAGAGTCTCTCACTATGTGGAGAAGAATTCTGTTGAGATTGCCGAAGCTCCCTCCCATCTCCGCTCTGCCCCATCGATTCCTCCAACCACACGTCCTCCTTCCCCCATCGTCTCTACCCCTTCCCAAATTCTCCTCCTCCGTCTCTTCCCAAAGCACTCCCATTCTTTGTCAAGATGACATGGACGATTGCGTTCTACGAGATGACCACGACGGCTTGCTTGGACCGGCACCGGCGACCGAGAAGTTGGACGGCAAACTGATCCAAGACGTCGAGCACGTCATCGGCTGCCTCCGCGATTTCGGTGCCGACAACGCGGCCGCCAGACTGAGGCTGGAGCACTGCGGCGTGCAAGCCTCGCCGGAGTTGGTGGCCGCTGTCCTCTCCCGCCTCCGTAACGACTGGGGCGCTGCCTTCACCTTCTTCCTGTGGGCCGGGGCACAGCCGGGGTACGCCCCTTCCGTCCGCGAGTACCACTCCATGATCTCCATCCTCGGGAAGATGCGGCGGTTCGACACCGCCTGGTCCCTCGTCCACGAGATGAGGCGGAGCGGCGGCGGGAGCGGCCCGTCCCTCGTCACGCCTCAAACGATCTTGATCCTGATCAGGAGGTATTGCGCCGTCCACGACGTCGGGCGGGCGATCACCGCCTTCTACTCGCTAAAACGGTACGGGTTTTCACCGGGGATCGACGACTTCCACGGCCTTCTCAGCGCCCTCACCCGGTACAAGAACGTGGAGGACGCCGAGTACCTGCTTCTGTGCAACGAGAAGGAGTTCCCGTTTGAGACGAAGAGCTTCAACATCGTTCTCAATGGGTGGTGCAACATCATGGTCCGAATTGGGGAGGCCAAGAGATTCTGGAAGAACATGGCGAAAAGAGGAATCCAGAAGGACGTCGTGTCCTACGGGAGTATGATCTCCTGCTACTCCAAAGCCGGTAATCTTAATGACGTTCTGAAGCTCTTCAATCAGATGAACGACATGGGCATCCAGGCAGATAGGAAGGTCTACAATGCGGTCATTTATGCTCTGGCTAAAGGAAAGTGCGTGGAGGATGCCAAGCGTCTTGTGGCGACGATGGAGGATAAGGGCGTCGCTCCTAATGCGGTCACCTTCAATTCGCTGATAAGGCCACTTTGTAAGGTACGGCGGGTTGACGATGCACGGAAGCTGTTTGATGAAATGCTGCACAGAGGGCTGTCACCTTGTGTAAGGACCTACCATGCCTTCTTTGATGCGGCAAAGAATGTGGAAGATGCGTTTGAGCTGTTGCGTAGAATGAAGGAAACAGGATGCGTCCCGGCAATCGAAACATACATCATGTTGATTAGGAAATTGGCTAGATGGAGGCAGCACGAGAGCGTCTTTAGGCTGTGGAATGAGATGCCAGAGAATGGGTTGACTCCCGATAGAAGTGCCTATATCGTCTTGATACACGGCCTGTTTTTGAATGGCAAGTTGGAGGAGGCTTCCGCATATTACGAGGAAATGAAGGCAAAAGGTTTTCTTCCCGAGCCGAAGACTGAGGAGATGATCAAAGCATGGCTTTCTGGTAAGGATTTCGCGAGTCCATTGACAACGGTAGAGTTGGAAAGCAAGCAAAGAGCTCTTAGGAGCTCAGGGAAGAAGCACAAACGTTTGTCTAGAAGAGAATACTTCAAACAGCCTGAAACGAGAAAAATTACCAGAGAGAGAGGTTTCTCTCTGTACGATAGCTGACGACATGCATATTTAGTCTCTGCAAGTATCCTTCGGTTTCAAAGGTACTCAACTTAACTATTCCACAGCCTCTGCACATTAATTATTAGCTTCAATTTATGAAACTCTTGCTAGTGATTTGTGCATGTGTACACTATGTTACTATTATTACAACATCTTTTCCATTCCAAATAATTATCTGTTCGGATGATTCGTATGAGCGACCAGGAATTTAGACTTTTATGAAGCGATGGAACTCGTTCTTCCATGCTTCATCGGATTGGGTCATATGTTTCTTGAAGAACCAGACTGAGCAGATCAAGGTTTGATCTGTCTATCAAAATTTCATATCTAGATAATATGGCAAACAACAATCTGATCTGAATTCTTAAAGAAGAAGTTTGTTAATGTGGCTTACATGGTCGGCACCAATCATGTTAAAAATGGGGTAAGATATTTGGGCAAGCCAAAAGTAGATTTGTATAGCAGACAGTAGTCCGCAGTACATGTTCTTGTGAGATCAAACCATTTGATCATTTAATGGTATGTCTCGATGAAGTTAAAATGTCAAGTATCATTTGAATTTTCATTTTTTTTCTTATCCTTTTGGTATGTCTAAATTTGCTTCTCTCTTAAAGATAATATGATGTAGATGAAACCACCAGTTTCCCTTCCCTTCCCTTCCCTTTCCTTCCCTCCATGAAGAAGGATTAAAGATAATAATGGCAGAGTTGTTAATCCTAAACATACCTTTTTATGACCGCTTCCCTTCCCTTAAAATCAATCCGTGTGCTCTCCACACAATCTTCTGAAATCTAATTACTGAGATTCCTCCTTAATATGAGTTCATGATAAATATTGATCGTGAATGATGAATATACAAGCATCAATGAATTTTCTTATTCCATGGGGCCAAGTGGATTGAACTATTGCCTCTCTTTTTCCAACTTCTCTCTCGCTCTTCGGAGCATCTCCTCCGCATACTTGGGACTATTTGCAGACCAGGAAGCACAAATAATAATTATGAACTTAGAATAATTGTTCTTATTTCCACTGTACTAACCGAACTAGAATCCAGAGAATGAAAACAGAGAGAAAGACCAAATAAAACAAGAAAAGTCCCCATCATTTTTGGTGTTGATACAGCATATTTAACTGATGATTTCATCCAGCTTAACGTTTCGGCTACTGTTTTTAACAGGAGAATTTAATTGCTATAAATTAACAGTTTAAAAAGCAGTTTAATACAAAAACAAAAAAAATTTGATGCACATGACAAAAAATTAATCATGTTTGATTACTTCAAAAAAAATAATTGTGCATGGCAATCATTGCATTGTCTGGCCGTCTATTCATCAGATACAACATAGATCAAAATGATCTCATTATGAGACCGAAATAAGTCAAACACTTCACATGTTTGCTTTGCATTCTACTTATTGGAACATGTCACCTTCCTTGTGCCAGAATGTCCCCCACAAATTGTTAGAAAGCAGTAAGTCTAATGTTCGCAAACATCTGCAGCTAAATTGGCTAGATTGCTCTCAAGCTCCCCGCACTGCTTGTGTGATTTCATCTCCTCTTGACCTGTTTGATCAGTTCTGATGCTTGATCATCTCCGGCCCAAATTTTCGTCGCGCACCTTGGATTCCCTAGTCAGTTACCTGGCACATATTACAGGAAATTGCAAATATGATTTAGATCGGAAATATCAGCATAACGATGGTTCATTGTTCTCCTAATTCTTTATTTGTGTTCCTGAAGCATATATTCCCATCTCGTCAAACATAAATTAAAAGTACCTTTTGAAATCGAGAAACTTTCTTCTTGCAGCCTTTTAATTTTCCACTGTGGCTTCACCTTGGTGTTTTTTTCTTCCCTGCTTTCTTTTTCGCCTGTGCTATCCGCGGACCACCACGTTTGAACACAGCTAGAACTTCAATGCTGCAGTAGTGTTTCATGAAGGTATGCATCCATAATGTGCAATATAAATGTGGAACAGGAAAAAACATGATGCCAAGTTATGTAGAAGTCAAAGATTTCAAGCGGTTTAAATATTGAAAGCTAGAATAGTCAGTAGACAAGGTATTAAGAATTTTGCATGAGACTCCTTAATTTGTCACACGTCACTCACTACCTCTGAGTACCGGGGAAGAAGTTGAAAGCATGAGCTTTTTCCATATACCATGCCTTGGATGACAGCAAGTTCCTGCTATCCTGTTGAAATGTTGTTCTAGTAAAATATCAGAAAAAATACCACTCTTCTTAATGGAAAGAAGAAAGAAAAAGTTAAAACACAGCATAGCATGCTTCCATGTTAAAGTAAATCAGTGGTATCTCCACCATCAATGCAGCAGCAATGTGAAACAACTGTACCTCCTTAAAACTTTCCCATCCACAACTTATGTAGATAAGAGTGGTAGGCCACTTTTGGCTTTTATCCCAAGTTGTTTTGCCTTCCACGTGAACAGAAGCTTCCCTTGCACGCAGAATCCATGGCCTTTTTTCATCCTTCATCTTTACGATCGAACTGTTTGTAAAGCAAATTTGTTTGGAGAACTTTTAGCACAAACAACTGAAGGCTCCATAATTGTATGCTTGAAGGCTACTCAAAAACCATGGTAAAGAAATTAACATTTCAAAGGATGAAATCCAAGGTCAGACGTGTACCCGTCAGGTGCTTGGCGAATCTTGCGTTCAGACAACGCAAAATGCCTTAATGCATCAATTAGGGATGGATGCAACCCTTTCCTAGGAGGATCCACAATCACGACGTCTGAACCCTCAAGCCAGCGAAGAGGTTCCTGAAAGCATAACGATCTTCAAATACTAAACAGTTTCCAAATGCTGGTAAAATCATGTCATAGTCCATTAAAAGGTTTAAGATTGCACTGCATACAAGAGATGCGTCTGTGTTATGCCAACTAATAGTGCTGTCTATGGTTTTCGGTAACCGGCTGACTGACTTCTCAAAAGAAAGTTCCGACTCTTTGTTGATCTCAACACATTTCACAGACCTGTGAAAAAACAAATTGTTATTATCCCCATCGGTTGTATGATACTTCCAAGTAGAATTCAAAATTAGAGTCAGAGCACCAACCTGCATTTCCTAGTAGCTGCTAGAGATAATCCAATGATACCAGACCCCGCATACAAATCAACAACAGATGATCCGTAAGAAACATGCTTCTGCAACTTCCTTAGCAAGGAATTAAAAGCCTGTAACTCTAGAGTCAGTCAGAGTGAACATCAGATTGAAGAAAAAAGCATTGCAAAATTCAGCATCAGTAAAGTTTCCATATCCATTTTTAATTAATAAAAAAAAGTTTCATTAAAAAACAATGGAAAAATACATTTGATGACAAATCTTAGCATATCTGTCAAACATCATCCCATTCGGTATAGTGGAGGCAATTGTTCCTAGAAAAATTTTCCCAAATTACAATATGGACTCATTATTTCAGTGTCTTGTATCCTCGCATCTTTTAAACATAACTAAAAGGCCATCGTCCCAGTGCCGTCCATGTTTATCTCAAAGTTACCATCTAAACTAGTCTCCATCAGTCCAAGCCTCATCCAATATGTATCCTTAAACACACTAGCTTGTTCAACTATTGATCAAAGTTTGAACAATAAATACATCTTCTTATCATGTCTGCTAGGACCTTGTTCACTGACATTTTAGACAAAATACTTGCTAACCTATCATCCATATTATAGTTTTGCTTTTTCTTTTAAAACAAACAAAATAATGTGACGATGACACAAATTGACAAAGCAATTAGCCGGTACCATACCAGTCTGACTGGTTGCTGAAACTGGTGTTTGATATACTTTTAAAATTTTTATATAATAACACAAATTTTGCTCGACCATGGAGAAACAATAAAAATTATTTAACCTATAACAAGAGGATATTCACAATCGGCAAATCAAGAGCATCTATAATTCAGATATACATCAAAAACAACTTCCTTCTACATGCACTTCATCTATGTCACATATCATCAACAACTTAAATGTACCTCTCAAAGTTATCAATCACATGATTTACCAAGATGATTAAGAACAGGTTAACCCATAAATCTTCTTCCGTTACATAGACTAGAATCTCCATTTTTAACCCAACTATTACAAGTCCTGATTGCTCTCAGAGACAATAATTAACTGTATTCAATATATTTTCCACGTTGAATGCTAGGGATTTTCTATGCAGGTAGTTCAAGGGTGCAGTGATGATGAAATACAAATGCCCACTGCCAACTTATATCTCCACTTAATAACATGATATGGGGTTTGACATGTCACAATAAGCATCTAGCTCCTAGAATTCTGTGAAAATGATTTCTGTTGATTGGTCCACAATCAGTTAGAAAGATTTACTATCTAGATTGATAAAGAAAAACTTGACATTATTGCAAACTAATCTGCAAATTACAATGCTAAATCACTGAGAAGTGTGCTCATTACACTGGTATAAATCTGCCATTATCCCAAGGGCATCTGCAAGCATGTGTAGGTGCCCACAAAAGAGGCAGTAATACCAAAAGTGCCCACTAAAAATGGAATCAACAATTACTAAATTTATCATTCAGCCACGCATTTGAGCAACAGTATACACTGGTTCTATGGAGTCCAAAAATATATACCTTTTACTATACCTGTGTATTTGCTTGGCCAAAGCTTGATGGATCCAAACATATATCAATTCCTCCAATATGCTCCCAGAATTCTCTTTGTCCCAACAGATGTCTCCACCTGTTTCCAAAGATCACCTGTATATACAATCAACGCTTAAATAGGAAAATGATGACAAATTACTATTTTAAGGCTATGTGCACTGTAGCATCACAACAAAAGCTAGTAATGATTGTACCGAACAAAATATGTGCCAAACTTTTATGCAGTAAATGATGGATCCAAACTGGTATATTACCATGTGAAAAAGGTGAAGTCTGAGATATAATTTCTTTCATAATTTTGACTCGTAATTAGACAAGCAATTAACAAAAACAACAAATTGTCGTTTGTAGTCGATCGGATAATGAGTTCAGGGAGCTATAGTAAAGAAACTTTGCAGAATAGTAGATGAATGTTTAGCCCTTCAGCTTAAATTTTCTTCTATGATAGCATCTCACATTTATTTGTAGTGAGGAGAAAAAGAAAACCCATTTCAGATTAGTAAAAAATAGAAAGAGAAAGAATGAAATGACAAGTAAGAATATTGCAACATTACAGTAAAAAAAGAAAGAAAATCAATGATGAAACAATAACCCCATTTCAAAAGGAAGCTGTGCCAGCAAAGTTGGTAAGAGATATTCTAGGATCTATGACGATCTATGATGGTGACTACACCTAATAGGATTGCATAATTGGTCTAGAAATTGTTCTATAGGGAACTTTCTTCAAACAACCTAACCAAGGGTCTAAAGATTTACTTGCACAAAGAGTGGAAACAAGCATAGGTTTGCACATGCCCACACCATGTTCACACACGCTTTTCATGGCATTGTTTTTTCTTCTAAATTTTACTCCATCCATACAACACATGCAGCAGGATTCAGACTCCTGATTTTATGACTGCGCATGCTGCTGCTTAACCACTAGGATGTCTACTTGGAGATTTCTAATGACATTATAATAGGTGCCACTACATACCATACCGACTTTTGTCATTATGAATAAGCTGTTTGATCAATGAGGGTGATTTTAATGGATGTGATGTGTAATTATGATGGATGTTTTTATTTTCTACTCAGTTGCATTATTGTAAAAATCACAATTAACTAATACGATGGATGAAAGTTGTAAAAAGAATAAAAGAATTATTAACATAAACCATTATACATTGTTCACAAAAAACCAAGACAAATCTTTCATATGGGTTGTTTATTTTGTGAAATTGAAAGCTTATGAAGAACCAAAAACGCATTTAACCTAATGACAATTTTTTCAAAAAGTAAATAGTATTAATTTTGGGAACTATCAAGTCAAGTGACAATCATTATGCAGGCTCAAATCTTTGAACATTAAACTTCACTATAATCATGTCATATAATATGTTAATGTTTTAAAGCTCATAAAAGAGGATCCATAACAAGTATAATAAAACACTTTTGATATCATCCATAAATGAAGATGACAAGAAAAAAATTTCTTGAAATGTTTTTGGGCGATTTACTAAAAAAAGACCCTAGTAATGGGCTTTTACCATATGGCACCCATGCCCATTTTCTGAACTTTGACCAAAATACCTTCAATGAAATCATAAAAAGATAGCGATTGTCCTTTGACTACGTTTGACTCGACTTTTTAGAGCTGAATCCCTTGATTTTTAGAGGAATTTTGCCAGGTCAGTTCAACAAAACCCAAGCCACTCAATTTGGTTTGATTGAGCCCTAGATAGCCCCTTAATTTCCCCCAAATTAACCCCCATCTCCTCCACCTCCACTTCGCCTCCCCCTCCTCCCCCTTCACCTTCTTCTCCTTTTTTTTCCTCCGCCTCCTCTTCCTCCTCCCCCTTTGCCTTCTCCTCCTCCCTTTCCTTCTCATCTCCTCCGTCTCCTCCCACTCAACCTCGATCTCCCCCTCCACCTCCACTGTCTCCTCTTGCTCCCACTCTGCCGCCTCCTCCCCCTCCCCCTTGGCCTCATCCTCTGCCTTCACCTCCTCCTCCTGCCCCACCTCCTCTCCCCTCCATCTCTCCTCCTCCTCCTTTGCCTTCTTCTACTCCACCACTGCTCCCTCCCTCACCTCCTCCTCTACCTGCTCCTCATAATTCACCTTTATAAATTTCTATATAAAATTATCCTAAATTACCTAGAAAAGCCAATACACTCAAGTTTTACTCATTTACAGAAAATATAAAAAAATATTAATTTCTATATAAAATGATCTAAAATTCATTATAAAACTAATCACAAAATCCTACATTTCCTATTTCCTATTTCCTACATTGACCAAGTTACACTCAAAATTGAACTAGTTTAACTCGATCACCTAACCCATTTTAAAATTAATAATTTTTATTTTTAGATAATTTCAGGATAATTAATTATCAAAACTTTGAGAATTCTACTAGAATATGATTCTAACAAAAATTCTACTAGTTTTTTAAATTTATGATGAATTTAGAATAAGTTTATATGAAAATTAATATACTTTTAATAGGATCTATGAACGAGTGTAACTTGATTGTAACCCAAGTGTAACTTGAGTGTAACATTACTTTTATTGGAAAAGTATGAAGAGGAGGGGAGTGGGAGGGATTAAAAGGCAAAAAGAGGAGGGGGAGTGGGAGGTGGGGGAGAGGAGGAGGAGGCGATGGAGGGCGAGGTGGAGTGGGAGGAGGAAGGGGAGGAGGAGGAAGACAATGGCGAGGGGGACGAGGCAACAAAGTGGGAGGAGGTGGATGTGGAGTGGGAGATGGATTGGGTGGAGAAGGAAGCCAAGGAGAAGAGGGAGGAGGGGGAAGCCACTGGAGAGGAAGAGGGGGTGGCGGAGTGGGAGTGGAAGGAGGAGGAAGCAGAAGTAAAGTGGGAGACTGAGTGGGACAAGGAGGAGAAAAGGAAGCCAAGGGGGAGGGCACGAAGGTGGTGCAGGAGAGGAGGATAGGAAGGAGGGCTAACCCAAACCGGTTTATTGGTCTAAACTGGTTCAGTGGCCTAAACTAGTTCAAAAAACTTTTGAAATTAGGATAAAATTGGTATTTATTTAAAAAGGGGCACCATGGTAAAACTAAATAGCGGGTGCGCCATTCAGTAAAAAAACAAATAGTAAGGGTGCTATTTGGTCAATTGCCCAATATTGTTTTCTTTTAATTGATAAAATCTAATTGGAATTATTTATAAGATTGAACTATAAAGACAAATATTATAAACTAAATGGTTCTTGACAAAGTGTTCTTGACAAATTATAAGAGTAAAATTTAGGAAACAAGTGTTCTTGACAAAGACCAGCATTAGGAACTAGGGGTTTTTGGCTAAGAAGACTAATATTTAATATATCAAGTGAAAGTTCATCAACAAGAATTGTAAATATAATTAAAACAAACGGATAAGAAGTTTCTAGATGCTAAAATTTTAGATATCTTGGATCCACTATTCAAGATCCATGAAGATATTTTTCATAAGATTAAAACAAGATATTTAAATGATAACAAAGTGCTAGATTTTTTTTTTTTTTTTGAAATTATATGACAGTTGTGAGGCAAGATATATTTTATCAAATTGTTTGGTGGTTCACATAAAGGCAGTAGTATCATTGAGATGAGAATACCAAAATGGAAGTAACTCGAAACATTAGGGATTTGATGAAGGAAGAAACTCAGAAAATTTTGTTTATGGTAGTACATATATATCCAAAGAAGACCCGATGGAATAGCAAAAATGAAATATAGATATTGCGAATTTCATACAATATCCATATTAAGTACAATACCAAGACTAATTTAAAAATATATATATTTAATACTTATAGGATACTCAAGAATTACTTCTTGGCAAAACTTTTGAGTGTAAATCTTTTAACTATAGATGAAAATCATATACAACTAGACATAATATTTTTTGGTACTTTAATTAAGTTTAGTAAAATTGAATCGGTTATTGCACGTTGTCTATCATAATTTTTTGCTACTGCATTCTTAAAGTACCTTCCAACTAACGAGAACTTTCATGATAGTTTAATTGGAAAAACGACATTTTTCAATTCGCTAAAGCTAGGGAAAGAGCAAAGAGCAAAGACATCAAATAAAAGATAAAAGAAGCTTGAAGAGTAATGAAAATAAAAAAGAGTGTGGGAGATGGTAGTATCCCATTAAGGTTCAAGGAGTCTAAGAGATCAAGAAATAATTTTATTGACTATTTTATTTAATAAATTTTAAAAAAATAAAAAGATGGCTGATGAATGAGTGATGAAGTTAGATCTTCAAATTTTCTTTAATTATAGAGAATTAAGATAAAGAACCACATTATGAAACTTTAAAGAGTGATTTAAGGTATAATAAAATGTAATAATATTATTAATATAAAGTAAATTGATCTTAAAATATTAAAGTAAATGAAATAATATTATTAAATTATAAATATTATTATGAAACCACATTATAGGAAATTGATCTTAAAATTACAAATAAAACATTATAAAAACAAGAAAATTTAAAAATAAAATAAAAATAATATTATTAAATATAAAGTAAAAGCATAATATAATAATAATTTTATTGTCACATTTAAATAAATAATAATAAAATCTAAAAGCTTTTAAATTTTCAGAACACATTGGAAATGACTTACAAAGTTTTTGATGATATTTTTTCCTCTTCAAGTATGTGAAATAGGTATTTTTACTAATTTTAAACTTAAAAGATTGATTAAATGTCATTTTTCTTCACAACTTTTTCTGAAAGACTAATGAAAAATATGGTCATTTTGAGTCCCTATTCCGATGTAATTCACATCCCACTTTTTCTAAAAGTTTCAAAATATCAACAAAAATTCTAAATGACCATATTTTTCATTTTTTAAACTTTTAAAATGGATATTTTTACTTATTTTAGCCCTTAAAAACATGAATTTGTACCTTTTTTATTTTTTTCTAATTTAAGATGAATTTACACAAGGTTCATTATCTCATGCCAACCATCGATGTCGGTCCTAGTCTAGACCAATACACATCAATCGATAGTAGCATACCGTATGTCAGTACACCAATACATATCAATATTAAAAAAATTGGTCAGAAAATGACTGAAAAAAAAAAAAAAACTCTTTCTAACCCCTTTTTTTTTTTCCAATTTAATGCAATTTCAATAAGAATAAAGTGTAAATGAATCATAAATGATTAGTAATTGTAGGTTTTTGGGCCTAATTACCCCCAAATTGACCTTAAAATAAGATAATGGACCTAATTGACCCAAGATTTAAGAGACACACTACTCGCCTTTAACATGATGAGATTAAGTCTAATTACCTCAAATTGGCATAAAAAGTAACGTAACAGACCTAATTGGGCATAGATTTAAGACGTAGACATACTAATCACCCTTAACATGCTGTTATTAGATGCCTAATTATCTTCAAATTAGCCCTAAAAATAAGATAGTGGCCCTAATTGTACATAAAATAAAGAAGAATAATAACCCCAAATTATTCACCATTAACTAGTTATGATTAGGCAAAATTAGCCTACTTTGCACCTGAAAGTATGATAATGGACCTATTTGGGCCAGACATACTAATGACCCTTAACATGCTGTTATTAAGCCTAATTATCTTCAAATTAGCCCTAAAAATAAGATAATGGCCCTAATTGTGCAAAAAATAAAGAAAAATAATAACCCCAAATTATTCACCATTAACTAGTTATGATTAGGCAAAATTAGCCTACTTTGTGCCTAAAGTATGATAATGGACCTATTTGGGCCTAACATTAAGGGAAATACACTAATCAACCATAATTGTTCATAATAAGATACTAATATGGATCTAGTTATGTCAAAAGATAACTAAAACATAGAAAAACCATAAATTACCCTTTTGAAGTGTTTGAATCCCTATTCAGAAACAATGTAAATAACCCCAAAAACTCTGAAATTTTCAGAAAACTTAGAAATAACTCGCAAAACCTAAATGACCATTTTGCAACCATTAAAATGAGTATTTTTGTTAATTTCTGCCCTTAAAGGTTGAATTTATCCTTTTCTTTATTTTATCCTATTTAAGATGAATCTATAACTACTTTGAGCCAAAAATCACTTGAATATTTTGTCTAGTTTTGTAAAAGGCCTAAGTTACACTATTTTTTATTATTTTTGAATGAGTCTATACTATTATTTTTAGGGTCTTTTTAAAAACCTCGAAATGATTTACAAAGGCCTGAATGACTTGTTTCCATTTTCAAGGCTTTAAAATGGGTATTGTTTACTAATTTTGACCTTAAAAGGTTGAACTTGTAATTTTTATTTTGTCCAATTTAAGGTGAATTTTCAACTACCTTGGACCAAAAACTACTTGAATATTAAAAAAAATTCTGAAGCTAAAGAAAAAAATATTTCTAGAAACCTGAGCTACATTATTTTGAAAGAATTTATATTGTTTTTGGGTCACTTCTCAAAAACAATGTAACTAACCACCACTTGTCCCAAAAATGTTCAAATTTTAGAAAGAGTTAAATGATCATTTTTTTATTTTTTAATCATTAAAATGTGTATTTTACTAATTTCTACTCTTAAAGATTGAATTTATCCTTTTTTTCAATTTTTGTCCAATTTCAGGTGAATTGTAAGTTTGTAACTACTTTGGGCCAAATCACTTGAATATTATTAAAGAGGGTTTTCTAAAGTTTTGTAGAAAATTTTGTTTTTGGAGACTTGTTTTTTATGTCACTAAAAAACAATAAAACTCACCTTCCAGTTTTCTAAAAAAATCTTAAAATTTTCAAAGCCCTAAATGACCTTTTTTTTATTTTTTTAGATCTTTGAATTGTTCTTTTACTCACTTCAACCCTTAAAAGATTGAATTGGTGTCATTTACCTAATGTAAGATGAATCTACAACCACTTTGGATCCAAAACCACTTGAATATTATTAAAAAAAATTTAAAGTTTAAAAAAAAATATTGAGACTGAGTTAACCAATTTTCGAATGGGACTTCACTGGTTTTTTCAGTCTATATTCAAAAACAGTTTAACCTCATTTCAAAACAGTGTAACTCAACTCCCACTTCTTTTAAATTCCTAAATTTTCAGTAGACCTAGGAAATTTCTTACTAAGAACTAATTGATCTTTCCTTTTTCCAATTTTTTGAGCTTTTAAAATTATATTTTTTATTCATTTCAGTCCTTAAAAGGTTAAATTATTTCTTAATTTCATGAAATTTAAGATGAATTTATAACCATTTTGAAGCAAAAACCACTCGAATATTATAGGATTTTCTAAAATTTTAAAGACTTATATTATTTTTTAATGTGGCTATACTATTTTTGGATCAATATTAAAAAAATGTTGAACTACATTTAGTATAACTTAACTCCTAATTGTTTCAAAATGTACCTAAATTTTTTGAAAACTTGAAAATAACTTAGAAAGACCTAAATGACCTTTTTTTCATTATTCAGCCATTAAAATGAGTATTTTACTAATTTCAATCTTAAAAGATTGAATTTGTGTATTTTTTATTTTGCCAATTTAAGATGAATTAACAACCACTTTGGGTCAATAACCACTTGAATATTATCAAAAAAGATTGGGGTTATACTGTTTTTATCTCTATTTTAAACTAGTGTAACCTCAGTCTCTAAACAACATAATTCACCTCCTATTTTTTCTAACAATACACTGGAATACACTGGGTCAAAAACTTATTAATATTATCAAAGAATATTTTCTGAAGTTTTAAAGAAAAACTATCTTTTTGGAGTTACATTATTTTTAAACATGATTATACTTCTTCATAACCTAATTTAAAAACAGTATAACTCATCTTTCACTTTTTCAAAAAAAAATTAAATTAAATTTCCATAGAATCTTGAAAATGATTTGTAAATTCCTAAATGACCACCTTTTATCTTTAAGCATTCAATCTTTAAATGACACAAGTTCAGTAAAAATACCTATTTGAAAGACCTAAAAATGAAAAAAATCAAAGACTCATAAGGAGACTTTACTAGAAACAAGGTTTGTCGTATCGTAACGTACCGCGCGGTATAAGCGGTACATACCAGTTCGGGAACAATATGAGCGGTACAATTCAATACCATGTATTAATATGTTGGCACAATTCGACACGTACTATACCGATGATCGATCAATATATCATCACAGACTAGTAAGGCAAACCATGACTATAAACACTAAAAAAAGACTTGATTTTTTTATTTAACTAGAAATATTACCTTATGAAAAGCTCAGCAGTATAAAAAGATCCATGTTGACCCTTGGTTGAGATAATACTCTAGCTAGTTGGTATTATTTATCATGGAAATCAACCTAATGTCATATTTAATATTATATATTTAAAATTCTCTTTGTTGTCATATTGAATCCTCAATCTAAAGGTGACATATTAAGGTATCTTATAATATCAGTATCCCCTATTTGTATCTAGTTCTAGGCTTTATCATGGATCGGTTATTCAATTGATTCAGCTTAAAGATTAGTGGTGCCGATAATAGCTTTCAAACTGCTGCTTGGGTTATTGTAGTCCTTCAGGATTATACTAGCCGAAGCACCAAGCAGGACACTGACCATACTTTACCAAGGCTTTTAAAATAAAAGCCTGCCCGGACTATGGCATTCTAAGCTTTATAATAAGGTAGTCCTGGATCAAAGGCTTTGAACCTATATCAGATCCTAACAAGTAAAACTTTAAGCCCTCCAGGGCTTGAAACATTCAACCTTGGGTCAGGTCTCAATGACTTTTTCTTCTTGGCGACAATGAAAAACATAAGATGAGGAAGAGAAAGAGAAAAAGAGAAGAGGAAGATCCTTCTTCCACACGATTGTTTTCTGTCTCCAACAAATCCAATCTCCATTATTAAGCAAAGAAAAGGAAGATAATTTATCTACCTGAAAGTTCCCTTTTTAATAGTTCCTATGTAATGGATATTGACATAATATATATCAAGCAAGTAATCAGAAAAAACTAAAAGATGAGCAGAGAGCCATCTATAGCAACAGTTAATAGAATACAGATAACCTAATATTAAAACATAAAGAATAGACACGTGTACCATTCACATACATTGCTGTTTGATGTCTGAAAGTTAGCCCATATTGAGTGAATTAAATGGTTGCTACATCTTGCTCCACCATTTCTCCACAAAAACTGCAAAGCATAATACAAGAAATATTAAAAGAGAAAATATAAATATAGGAAAACCTTTTGGGAATCGAGAAGCAATTAAATAAAGAACTTACATTAGACAAAGCATTCAACTTTTCATGATTCTCCGAGTGTTCATTTCTTGAGTTCCAAACAAGTGAAATCTGTACTTTTCCTGTAAAAAAAGAAACGAGACTTAAATCTCATCTCATATTCTGACAATAAACCATAGAGAAAGCATGCTGCTAAGATTCACTAACCATTTTGATATCTGTCTGAAACTGGCAGAGACGTATTATATGTTGTTACAGCCATCTGAAATTTCAGGATTACGGTGCATAAACAACTGAGAGAACTTGGCTCTGATATCAATTGTTAAGATCGTAAAGGCACTAAGAGGGGGGGTGAATTAGTGCTTTCGAAAAATTTCGGTCTGAAAGTTCGATCAATAAATCTGTATCGAAAATGTGATTTAACAAAAAGTGCGAGTAAGGATTGCTTAGTAAGTAAATCAGTATGCAGTAGTAAATCAAGGCAAAAGAAGAAATGCAAACCAGATTTATAGTGGTTCAGTCGTATTGACCTATGTCCACTCCCGATTCCTCTTCTTTCGAGGCCACCGGCTTTCACTACCGATCTTCTTCCAATGGGCGAAGATCAATTACCCTTGCTATAACTCTTTCTCCTTTTTACAGGTTTAGGAGAGAACCCGTACACCCCTCTTTTACAAAAGACCTCTCACCTCTCTTAGAATAACTTCTAGACTCAATGAGAAAGAGACTCAACACTTTTCAAGAGTTTACAACACTTTAAAATCACAAGTTTTTCATGCTTTGTCAAGCAAGCATGAGAGGGGTATTTATAGGCCCAAAATAGCTTCAGAAATATAGCCAAAAATTCAAATCCCCGAGTTTTCGGGGTACTGACGATACCACCGCCTGATAGTTTGAGCACCGGCCAGGCAGACCACCGCTTGACACAGCCTGGGAGACTGTGTTCTGGCGGTACCACTGCTAGTCTAGGCGGTACCACCGCTGACTCTGGTAGTATGACCACCGAGTTTTCTAGAAAAGTACATTCCGTACTTTCTAGCTCACAAGCGGTTCCACCGCCAGGCCCAACCTCAAGTCACTGAATTAGCCTTCCAATAGGCTCAATTCAATCCTAATTCAGGCCCAATGGGCTCCTAATCAAGTTGGCATGGTTGTACCCAAAACTAACTCAATTAGACACTTAAACTACTTCGATCAAGACACAATGATTACAATCATAAAGCCTACGTTCTCCGACATGTCATTAGTTCATCCGGTACTTTGTCCAAACTCCAAACTTCCAACGCGTCCTCCTGTCCTTCGGTGCGTATTGCCCGATCCATTGGCATGTTGACCTCCCGCAACATCCGATCTTATTGGTGCAATGCCCGATCCTTTTGGCCCGATACCCGATCTCTGACATAATGTACTCCGACCCAACGTCTGATTCTCCTGCTTCAATCGATTTGCCTTTACATGATCGAAGTTTGTCCTGCGTCACTTTTCTCAAACACTCATTAGTTCATAAACTCATCAATTGATTTCATCATCAAAATCCGAGATTTAACAAGGATGCTCCTACAACATTTGACCCTCATTCTAGCACCAAAATGTTAACACACAAAGACTATCGACTGGTGAGTCAGCCCGGTTGGTTCTCTGCCAAAAGTGCAGGTCCCTTCCAATGACAATTCCTGGTTGACGTAGAGAGCAGACGTTGCAGGCAGGACCAAGGAAGCTGTAGGAAGAGGTAGTGCGCTAGGAGCAACTCAGTCTTCGAGCGGTGAAGCTTGGTTTGGGAGTTGGCGATCTCCTTTGATGAGTAGCTTTCTGGTTGCGCCTTCGATCTATGTCGATGACCCTACACAACAAGCTTGACCACTCCGATGCTTAAGTCAGGAAAGCAAAAAGGGAGGAAGACAACAGTATCAGTAATGAATTAAGAGAGTAAAGAGTCTTTTTTTCTTGTCTACCCTAGCTTGGCCTGGGGCATGACTTTTTCTTGTCTACCGCTGGGTGGAGCAAATGGGCCTCCGTCAAGGATGACGCCTCCCGAGGGCAATATGGTGGAAACATTTAATGCGGGCGACTTGTCGATGCATGCTCCCAAGGGCAGCGTTTAGGGACTATCGGGATGATGCCTCCGATCGGGCTTCCTTGCTTCTTTGGGTCAGGCAGGGCATGATCCCCTCGTCGTTCGACCAAAAGGGAAGGTTGGTGAAGCCAGGCGATGCCACCGACCATTAATGCGTTGCAGATTTATTTTCCCAGCTATGGGATCGATGAGGAGTCGTTCCGGCGAGCCCACTTCGGGAAGTCGGGGCAGGTGATGTGACCTCCTGTCGGTTGTCGTAGGGAGTTGGTGGCTCCGGGCCTTCGTTTAGGTGTTGCTTACCTGACGGGCGAAGTTGGGGGGTGTCAGGATTCATCTCTATCAGGATCATTCCCCAATATCCGTACACGAACTTCATCTAGTTCTTTGTTTAACCTATAAAAAATTAAAAGGCTCGATCTCTCTCAAGCATTTTTATGTATCGAGCAATATCAACAGCATATCATCACTCAAAATCATAAAAAATATCAAGCCCTTGCCATAGTGTCTTCAAGGTATTCTTCAAGGTATTAAAGTATTTTATAACACTAGTATTACTTTGTTTAAGCTCTTTAATCATGTTTGTAATCTCAAATACTTGGGCTGAATTCCCCAAGGTTTTTAATCTCGTACTGTATCGCCCGGTACGAGTGGTACATATCGATTCGCTAGCCTATAAGCACGCGGACCGCATGCTACCGTGCGGTATCAGATTTTTGGCCCTGCATTGGGGGATACAAGGCTGTACCGGGTGGTAACGATCAAAATTTCGATCGTTACCAACCTGTACTATGCGGGTCGATTTCGACCATTACTAACCTATACCAAGTGATAACAGTCGAAACCGACCATTATCGAATTATAACAGTTTTCAAATGGCCAATTTGACCGTTGGAGGCATCCTAAAGGGTTTTTAAACCCTTTCCTCCCCCCCTCTTTCAATTCATTTCATTGACACTCTCTCTTAAACTCTTTCAAACTCATTTTTACTCACAATCGTTCTCTTATTCTCACATTTTCATTCTCCTGAACTCAACAAAACAACAATTTGTGGATTGGATCAAATTTAGGAGGCTAATTTGGGAGGATTAACATACATGACGTAGACACAGAACGAAGCTCATTATATTTACGATCGTTGTATTATAGAGAATCTTACGGCGAACAGTAGTACGATGATAGTTGGTCATACTTCTCCGAGCAATAGTATGATACAAAACAATAGATCAATAGCGAAAGTAAAAGTTCTGACATTCACCAATACATGCCTTAGGAGCCACCTCGGATTCATGTGATTCACGACGATTAACCTACTACCATCACCACATTGATGCACCAATGACATACGATGTATCAATACACTATGTCATAGGATCAATTTCAAGATTGGATAAGACAAACATATCATATTGATATGCAGATACATAGGATCGAGGACCCTAATCCACCACCTATGGAGGCCCGTCGTTCGTTTTGGTGGTAGAATCAAGTATATCTACACATGTGATTACTTAATTCATTTGAATCTTAAAGTTTTAATTGTATACAAAATAATCTAACAATTAAAATAATTTTTTCGTAGATAATTCAATATTAATGGAAGGACTATCCAGAATGAATCGAAATTACGAACCTTACACAAGGCTACTCCTCAAAGCCCGAAAAAGATATGTGACACTATTCTTACTTAATTTACATTAGTTTTGCTAAAATATATTAAATGTATATTTATTTCTAACTTAAAAACACTATCCTAATTTTTTTTTCCTTTTTTTCAAGTTTTCTCGGAGGGTTTTATGCCTATTTTAGGCGTACCGCTCAATACGCTGGTATGTATCGTACCGAGCAAGGCTCAATATGCCGGTACGATACAAGATTAAAAACCTTGGAATTCCCCATATCTGAATATGTCTTGACTACAACATCTCATAACTCCTTTGCTATTGATAAAAACATATATGTTTGGCCAATTTCTAGTTCCATAGAGTTTATCAACCATGATATGATCATGGAAATTTTAGAATCCCACGATTAAAATGGATCATCCTCTACAGGTGTTGTTGTTAATCTGATCATATTGCCGATCTTTTTTCTCCCTCGAATATACAACTTTACGGACTGAGATCAATGAAGAAAGTTTTGTTTGTTGAGTTTATATGTTGTAATCAGCAAGGATGGATTGTCAGCTAAGTTGTTTGTTGGAGATGGAAGTATTGGTTTCATCTTCTCTCCTCTGGACATTGTAGCACAGGTTCCTCACAAGTAAACAACGAAAAAGAAATAGTTAGGGGCTGATCCGAAGAGTGGCAGAATAGAGGAAAAATTTTCAGCAATTAAGGTTGAATGAAAGAAGAAAAATTATTTCTATAGAAACCGAGCTCTAATACTATAAACACAAGGGAATAAGTTTTTCTCATTCATACTCCTTTTTGTATACAAAGGAAGACATATAAGCCCATTACAAACTATACAACTAAGGAAATTGATTTTGTACAATATTTCATTCTAATCTATTTTCTATAATATGGGCTGATTTAATGCTGATTAAGTCGCCCAAAATAAGAGATAGATTCCCTTAAGTATGGGATTATATAATCCCTTAATTATGGGATTTTCCACACCTATGCCTAGCGATTAATCAATTAATAAAACATCTTCATTGGATCCAGCAAGGAGTGAGGTATTGGCACCTGAAGTTTTAACATAATGCTTTAGTTAGGACATTTGACAATCAACAGCAACAAAAAGAAAATGTGCAACAAGATCTATGGATCCATTTTATAAGGTTTGATCAATTTCTTCACCAGATCTTAAAATGTGCAATTGTCCACGTAAAACAATTATGGAGCTCCTTGTAACAAAATTCATCTGAATCACCTATATCTGCATTCTTCACCAGCATGTGAAGATGAAACATCGACAACACAGTGATCATGCAAGACAGTTGACCTTGGTGACAAAGTAAATTTGAGTGGAGAATTGTTATGATGCAGAATAGAATCAATCTGAACTCCAGAACTATTCAATCACCAACCATGTTTTCAAAAAATGGAACCTATGAGTGCTAGGATGTGTTTGATCAGCACTAGATGAATAAGGGCAGCAGCTGGCTTATTTTGGTTAAGGTTTTAGATGGAAACTGGGATTTGATGACCAGCAACCCTCTCTCAAGATGGAAATCATAGAACATT